CGTCACTAGCCACTAATACAGAGAAGACAACACAATAGGCTTTTCAAGGACGTGAGGAATGCTCTACGCCCATGCTTCTCTGAGCTCTCAAGGCTGTTTATTGGGCCCAGGATAAAGGACCCTGCAGAGTGTGTTTACAAAATTGAGTCAGTAATCAGATGGGCACAGATGTAGTTTTGCAGATAATCAGTCTAAATGAATCTTCATGATCTAAGCCTTTTTTCCAACTCAGTCTTCTGAACAAAGCATCCCTGAACCACTGAAATTAATGGTGAAGTGTGTCATTTCTGCATCACCAAGCTGATTTGCCATTGGTTGAGGAAAAATATCATCCAGCCTCGAATTATATTAACTGATGAATTAATGAGTATAACTTGATGTTTCAATTTTATTTTGTAAGAACTATTTTTTTGGCTTAATTTTAATTTAATTAATTAATTTTTGTTTTTTTGACACACTTCCCTTTTGAACCTTGTCTGTCAGACTAGTAAGACCCAAGTTTTTACTGTTGCTATATTACATTTGACATTGAACAGTATTTCCGTAGTAACAAGATCGGAGAGGTTTGCAAGCAGAGCCATTTCTACAATATGTAATTTTTAAACTACAACAACTGGAATTCAAACTGTTTCAAATAAGAGCCACAGTTCCCATCTCACACAGTGGCCTTGTGACCCTTGTTGTCCCTGTGGTCTAACAAAATCTGAGTTTTCATAAGCAATGCTTTTTTGGGCTTAGACACTCGAGAAGGAAGATTCAGAGCCAGATTCAAACTTGTGTGTCCTTCATGAGCACCGTGGCCATTGTTGAGATGACCTTAATTTCGGTAACATTCCTTTATCAGTACTTGATACTGATCAACCAGATATTTTTGTATCCATCCCAGGCTGCTGATTGTTGTGCCTAGTCTCTCATATCACTGCTGTTTCTTTCTTCTCACACAGTAAAACAACTTCAGCAGCTCCTCCTCCTCAAGCTGGAGTCCGTACCACATGCCGGCATTTATTTTGTGATATGACGGGCTGACTGTACATCATCTACTTAAATGACAGGGTGTCTCAGGATTATATTTCATGATGTGAAAAATTAAAGGGGCCAATTTTTATAAGCACAATATTCATGAGAGCGTTGTCTTAATGAGCCAGTCCACTGTATATTTACTCAGATTGGCTACTGATTCAGGATACCGAATCGAGAGAGACATTAAACTTGACTAATCAGGGGTTTGCGCCAAGGCATAAATCTTGAGTCCAGAGGAGCTGTTAAAAGACAGAATGCTTGATCTTAATATTCATCAAGACTGTTTAAGATGCAGTACAATCACACGTTCACACAGTGGGTTGTTTACACATATCTCTGATTAAAACCCATAAATAAAAGGTACACGGCTAGAATAGCTCGTTCGTTGGTGGCGTCTAATTCAGATATTAAACTCTGAGTATCTGGTGCATTTCAAAAAGTGTTTGTTTTCATTATATCCCTTTTCTTTGGGATTGTGATTGAGAACTTCCTTTTCCCCCTCTCCTTTTCCTTTTTTGTGGAGGTTCCTGTCCTTCCGCATTACCCGTGTTTTTGGAAAAGCCGAGGTTGACTGGGAGCCTTAGCTCATGTGTTAAAGCGGTAATTTTCAGTGACATTGCTCAGAGCAAGTAGGAATGTGTCATTGTCCACCCTTCACTGGTTACACAATACGGAATCTGTTGTGCTGAAATGAAGGTGATTCACTCCGTCGGGGTTTTAGGCAAGAGCTAATGGGCCCCGCTGACCAGTCGAGCCAGGGAATGAGGGATACGCCACAGGGAAACGTGTCCCCAATGGCCTAAATTCATTTTGATGACCGTCACTGATTACAGCCTATTTATTTCAGCCATGTATTGCATGCTTAATTTGGTTTACGCTAGCTGGATTGTCTGAGGTTTAACACGCTAGATGAAGTGTGTCCTAGAAAGCGGAAGTGAGAACTTAATATCTTTGATGTGCTGTCCTTTTTACTGCATCTACCAGACTTCTACGGCACTTACGAATAGGCTTACATTTTAATCTGTGCAAATTCTCCAATAAGCAACAACTAATCACCTGATTTATAATCAGATTTTTGCTCATACGTTTAACAGTTTCGTATAATCTCTTGTGGTTTTCACATGATGCTGATTGTTCATTGATGCATATTTCAGTTAAACCATTAAAAAAACATTTAGATTAGAAACATTAATTTATATGGAAGAGCATTAATATCCAGCACTTTCTTAAAGAGATAGTTCACAAAGTAAGAACAATTGTTATAAACTCCCTTATGTAGTTCTAAAACGGTAATGTAACCGTATTGCTGTTTCTTTAGTTTTCATTTGCTTATTCCATACTGTTCATAGTGAACAAAAAGTGACCAAAAACAACTTAGCTCAACAACTCGAGTGCTATTTTCAGACTCTATTTATATGATTTGTGTGAGGAAATTTGAGTTACTGATAATCTTCCCCTCCAGTGAACTGTTAACATGAAAATTGCTTCAAATCATTGAGTCAGTGAGCTGAGCTCGAAAACCATATTAGTCTGATTCATGGACAACCTATTTAGTTCTATTTGTGAACCAGATCAATCTGTTCATTGAAAATAACTAGCTCAATATAATGATCCATTCATGACATTGAACAGATTCAGATCTCAAGTTCAACTCACAGACTCAGTGAGATCCAGGTGCAACGATTCACAAGGTAACAGCTCACTGAAGGGGAAAGTTATCTATTATATAACTTCAGAAGACCTAGGAATATGGAACACAAGTCATCTACTATTTGTTTATTTATCTGTGAATTGTAGTTCTATGCAAAAACCGCACTGTGGACTTTAAAATTGTTCTATGGAAAAATAACAGAAAATAGGTTTGAAACAACGTAAGGTAACATGATAAAATAATGATTTTTTTTTTTTATTTTACATTTTTGGGCCAAGTAGTCCTTCCAAACCCAAGTTTGCTTGTTGCTGTTCATAAATTTCTCCAGCTGTTTTCACAGTTCTTTTTCATATTAATGTCTGTATTAACCTTTCCTTGGTATCTTCTTTAAGGCTCTTCGTCCCTCTCTGACATTTCCACATTTTTGTCATTTTAATCAAACAGCTGCATCAGGCGCCTAACAGGCAGTCGGTCCATCCGTTTCCTGTCCCATCCCCCCTCTTTGACCAGACCATCAACATCCCAGCCAGCTTATCATGGGGAACTAATTCAATATCCCTGTGCCTGTTTTAAATGTCATTGGCTGAGCTCATCTGGAATGACATGTTTTTCATGGTGGAAGTAAAGGCGCTTTATTGAGCAGGGACCAGAGCGGGGGGATGCGGCTGCCCTTCGCTCTTCATGTTCGCTCCGATCCGAAAGGTCTACGAGCTTTTTAAGATAATTCGGTGCACATTCAGCGCAAGCTCGCTCATCCTGTCTCTCATTGGCTCTGTGAGTCATCACGCATCCTCAGCTGACATGTGAAAGTAGACTATGGCAAAAGTTAGATCATCAAATGTCGGTCTATCTGCTAGCATGGAGTGGTTTAATTTTGCTCTCTCAGTTTTATGATTGGTTTAAACATTATTTCAAATATTATATTGATATTTTTATGGTTTGTTAACTTAATAGTATTAAGTAATTCTCCTTAATAGTACTTAGTTTCGCCTAAAATTCTGTCATTTAGGATTCACCTTTATGTAACTCCAAACCATTTCTGAAACTGGACAATTGAGTCATTGAGTTGACATGAGAACCGAGTCAGTCTAATTCAGGAACTTTTAGACTAGACTAGTTTTTGTGAACTGGATTACCTGACTCATTGAAAAGATCTCAAAGCAGTGATTTTGTTTATTTAGAAGACATGCAGCACACAAATCATATAGACTGCTATACTTTAAAAGTGTTTTTTTTTTTTTTTTTATTGTTGAAATCTACGATATTCCTTAAATTGAATTTTTGTTTTCCACAGAAGAAAGAAAGTCATAGAGTACTGTTTAGTTGTGGGTGAACCTGTCCCTTTAAGATTGTCTTAAATATTGATTGACAGCAAAGCCTTTGCGGGTACCATTCTGTGATCTCTCGCCACATGGGTGATGATATCAGTTAACCCATTGTACCAGAGAAAAGGTCCTGGTGTGAGGAATGGCCTAAAACCCCTGAGATGCACAGCATGGCTTCTTACCCCGACCCCTGCAGGCATGCCTGTATCATCTGGCCTTTTGCCCATACTGAGTCATCCGCCTCCGATATCACCGCTGCTCCTTTCTTAACTCCCCCCAGCCTTTTTTAGCCCCAGCCCGAATGTTCGGCAGCCTCTGGGGTTGTGGGTCAGAGAATAGGGCAAAACTGGAAATGTGAGGGGTCGGCTGGGGCTTACTGTGGCAGATAGATGGGCAATATGTGAGGCAGGATGAGTCAAATTATGTTGCTTCTTTAAAAGATCCATTTCAAATATAAAGGGCAAATAAGCATCTGCTCTGACAGGTCTGCCAGTCTGCTATTGAAGTGGCCAATCAGAAGTGCATTTTTTACATTAGAGAGGACAGCGTGACCAAAATGTAACCCTAAAATGACAATTCTTGATTATTTACTTTTTTTTTTTATATTTCTTAATGTCATTCTTTATTTAATTTATTGTATGTAATTATATATAGAACGTAATATATACAGTATATATATATATATATATGTGTGTGTGTGTGTGTGTGTGTGTGTGTGTGTGTTTTTAAATTTTTAAAAGAATAATTTTTAATATGTTATTGTGAATTCATTGTTTTAGTTATTTCATGTTGCATTAATTTTGTGCAGATTAAAGTTATTTATTAATGTTAATAGTTAATATTATTTGTATTACATGAATGTTTCTGTGTAATATAGGTGTGTTAATCAACGTTTTTCCCCAATGTCTAATTGACATTACAATTATGTTGGTGAATTAGCTTTGTCATTGTGAATCATTATGATGCATGTAGTAAAAATCCATTCTCATGTGTTTTTCCCGTAGGGTTCCTGAAACCCCATTGCTCGATACCACCGCCACCTCAGAGAGGACGAGCAGAAGCATGCACGTGTTTCAGCGGAATGTGTGCTCTTCATCAACGCAGGCTTTCTACAGGTAACCTATGCATATTTAGAACTACACAATCGCTTACGTTCTCCACAGCGCATAAACTTACAGCAATAACTCGTCTTTTGGCAGCTCTGTAGCTCCACTATAAAATAATCCTGCCTTTTTGTGTGCGTCAACTGTTCCCATGAAACCTTATGGTTCTTCCTTTGAAGAACACTCAAGATACATGCATAAATCTATGCATTGAAGTCATATTTAGAGCCCTAAACGGATTTCCACTGTGCTTGGCTATAACTCATGCCAAATATGTCTGGTCTTGTAGTATGTCTGCGTTTGCAAGAAACAAGACACGTCTTGCACCACATGCATACATATACAAATACACCCTCTAATCTGAATTAGTGTCTGGCCCCCTCCTTATGTTTTGGTCCTGCAGTGTGTGATTTGCAGTTTATGTTATGTTAGTTTAAAGGGCTGATGGACATGTTAGCAACCGGTCTTCTCTGAGGGATCCTTATGGGGCAGCATTACTGCAGATTCCAGCTGTGACCCTGTGGTATGTGGGGAATGGATTGCTGTTGGCTTGGATGTAAACATGTTTTGTTACATGACTTTTATTGCCTTGTCTTTGCAATGTCTATACATGTATAGTATGTGACCAAATGACTCGTATGAACTGGTTCTTCTCATGACTAATGAATCGATTCAGTTCAGAATCCTGTAGGATGGTGGTTCTCCTCTGGTTTTGTGTCTAGATTTTACATTGTGCAGCAAGTAATGACCAAACAGCACTAAAATTTTTCATCATACAAATGCAAATGTCCTCACAAAAAAAAAAGAAACGCTGAAATGAATACATTTTATAGTTTTGGATGAGGACATGATATGCAACCTGTATATATTTTGACTGAGTTCAGCTAATTGACAAAGGAATTTGTGGCAAAATACTGTAGTTTGATTGGACAGATTACTTTTAACATCAAAAACAAATAATACGTAAAACGTTTACACATAACTTTTAAAAATTGATAAGCTCATTTGTTTTGCTATTCTACATATGCACAATCAATATGGTTCCTTGTATTTAATTCATTGCATTTTGTATCGCTTTTTTCCCCATCTGAACCTATATGCAACCTTTTTTCAACACCAGATGAGAACCACTGCTGTATATGTGTAACAGTGAACCCACACATGTGTCAAGTGCGTTGTGGGAGACCTCATCCATATGCTATTAAAATGGAATACCATTTTGATTCATCTCTTTGATATAGCTTTTTAAAGGGGTCATATGATGTGATTTCAATTTTTCCTTTCTCTTTGGCGTGTTACAAGCTCTTGGTGCATAAAGAAGATCTGTAAAGTTGCAAACACTAAAGTCTCAAAACCAAAGAGATATTCTTTATAAAAGTTAAGAGTTAACCACACCTTCCTAAAACGGCTCGTTCTAACACGCCCCCACATATCTACGTCACGATCTGGGAAGATTTGCATAACGCCGCCCAAATGTTCACGCAAAGAAAGAAGGCGTAACTTTTGGGCGGCGTTATGCAAATCTTCCCAGATCGTGACGTAGATATGTGGGGGAA